AAAAAGGACAAACTCGGCTGACCATACCTTACCCCTTCCTTCTTTCTGCTTAAAATATAGACACAAATTACTTGGGTAAAATATCTCTTTGCTTTATTTACTACTAGAGTCACAGTGCATGACCTTTGGGGGTGGAGGTGAGGTGGGATCCCTCAGCCCAGTCTGCACCCTCTTGAAATCTGGGATGTTTTGGGAGATGTCCAACTGCCAGTTTAGGCCCGATTCTGTAGAAATCCCTGTGGATTGGGCCTAAACCAGCAGTCAGACATCCCTCTCACAATCCAGGACTGCTAGCCCCTAACTGCTCATCTGCCTGCCTGATAGCCCCTAACCACTCACCTGCCTGCCTGATCGCCCCTAAGCACTCTGCCTGTCTGATCTCCCCTAACCAAATCTGCCTGCCTGATTGCCTCTAACCACTCTCCTGCCTCCCTGATGGCTCCTAATTGCTCACCTGACTGCCTGATCACCCTCTAACCACTCACTGGGGGGCAGCCAGCTGGGGAAAGGGGCCGTGGTCATTCTGGTCTCTGGCTAATCTGGTCATTCCACCACTTCAATCACGGGGCTTTTATTATATAGGATAGGATAATAAAGGGGCCATCTTGTCACTATAAGGAAAAAACAAAACACATGTTAAGGATGATAGAGGAAATACAGAGGCAATTGAGTCTCTTGTAGAATTGTAGAGTCCCTGGACTGCCTCCTTCCTAGTGAAAAAAAAACAACACAAATTTTTATTTGGTTAAGCCAGTCAAATACGTTTCTGTTATATACCGGTGAAAGCAATAGAATCTGATACAACAGGTTTGTTGGATAGTTGCTGAGGATGTAGGTTCCTGGTACATCTCTGCATTGTGGCACACTCCAGACACAGTTTCTCCTGGCTACTGGTCATTTGTGTGTGTCGGTCATCCTCTTAGGCTGCAGTAATATTTATATTGCCGTTCATGAAGTCCAAGAACTTCCATCAAGTCCCAATTTCCTGATAACTTTTATATTTGGTTGCTTAGGCCAATTTCTCAACAGCATCTCAAGTCATTGTAAAACTTGTAATTTAATATCCAGAGTTAAATGTATATACAAAGGAGTATACATACATATATTTAATATAGTTTTCATATATACAGCACTCTTATGTTAACCCATACAGGTCAATGCTGGAAGATGTTACCTGGGATGCTTTTGAAAGCTGAGACTTTATGAAAAGATTTGTTCTATGGGATAATCTACAATTAAATTGTGATTGCCAACAGACTACTTGAACTATAAATGATGAAACTTACTAATACCTGTGGGAAATGAGGAATTATAAAATGATGTATATGGTTGAAAAAAACCATCATGAAGTTAATAAGGAGATCACAAATTACATTATTATACAACTAGAAGCCTGGTGCATGGATTCATGCACCAGTGGGGTTCCTCAGCCTGGTCTGTGGAGATTGGGCCAAAACTGGCAGTCCAACATCCTCCAATGGGTCGCAGATTGCAAAAGGGTGCAGGCCAGGCTGAGAGATCCCACAGGTACACAAATCAATGCACCCGGCAGGCCTCTAGTATCCATATAAGATCTTTGGTTAATCTCTTCCCACCCTCCTCCCACCCCCTTCCTCTGAGATTCATCAGTCTGTTCCATGTTTCTATGCCTGTGCATTGAGCATCTGCCCCCTGGTGGTCAGTGTGTGTCATAGTTACCAGTCAAATGGTCCAATGGTTGCTTAGGCTTTTATATATATATAAGAAAAACAATGGTAATATATGTATATGAAAGACAATGGAGATATATATATATATATATACATATATATATATATATATATATATATATATATAGCGATTGTTTTTCTTCTTAACAATTCATGAGTTTTAAGACTGGGCTAAGCACTTGTAGCACTTATCATATTACATAAATATTATCTCTATACCTGTAGTTATCTCCCTTCCCGCTTCCCCTCAGGTGGCTATAAATTCCTAGAGGCTTGGGGCATATGTACTCAACAGTTTCATCAGAGTCTGTTACATGGTGGGTGCTCAGCTCATATTGATTGAACTGAATATGGTGAAAAGGAAAAAAGCAGAAGTAAGGAATTTAGAATTGCAAGTTCTTCTGCAATAATAATCTTCTTCTCCTTCCTCCTCCTCCTCCTCTTCTTCTCCTCCTCCTCCTCCTCCTCCTCCTCCTCCTCCTCCTCCTCCTCCTCCTCCTCCTCCTCCTCCTCCTTCTTCTTCTTCTTCTTCTTCTTCTTCTTCTTCTTCTTCTTCTTCTTTTCCTCTTCCTTACCAGAAGATATTTTTCCATTGATTTTTAGAGAGAGGGGAAAGACAGAGAAAAATATTGATGTGAGAAAAACACATTTATTGCCTCCTGCATGAACCCCAACCAGGGCCAGAGCTGGGGTGGAGCCTGCTACCAAGTATGTGCCCTTGACCAGATTCAAACCTGGAATGCTTTGGTCCACAGGCTGACTCTCTATTCACTGAGCCAAACAGGATAGAGTGCAGGCTCTTCTTTTTAATTCCATTACTTATGACTTTCCAGCTAAAGAGAAGGGTAGAATAAATAAAAATAAAGCAGATGCATGAGTTTGGACAGTTTTTTAGGGTTTTTTAAATAGAAACTGGAAAATCCTGAACAAACCAAAAAAAGATAAATAACTTGTGCTTTTTATCTTTGGAGGAGTGTAGACAACAAAATTATTATTACAAATAATTAATAACCAGGGAGGAACCAATGTCATTCCAATAAATTAACTTAAAAACAAAGTAACCAGTGGGGAAAAATTCCTGTTTAAAATGCATATATACCTATAAATTATGCTTTAAAGGGATTATGGGTATCCTGTTAAATATTTCCTCCTTTAGTTTATATGCTAATTTTTAATTAATTTCTATTTTAATAAAATAATACTTTGTTTCTGTAAGAAAACTTGAATTGAATGGGAAAATATACAATTGTTGTAGCTATTTATGACTAGATAAACGTGCTGTTTGGACCACGGGATCCCAATAAAGACATTATTGTTCACCAAGGATGAGTTAAATTTGGTCTATAAACAGACAGTAAATATTATATGGTATGACTATTTTCATTTGTCAGAGTACCAACAACCTCTGCCTGTGGCTCTATGTAAGGAGAGCTCTCCTTCAACAACTGTCAAAGTTTCTAAGACTCAGGCGCTGGTCTGAAGTCACCAGCAGTTAACCAAAGTATCCAGGCAACCAGAGGAGCAGTACATTTTCTACCCACATGAACTCAGCTAGATTCCTGGCCTCATAAGGACAGCTCTGGAAGGTGATGAAGAGCCGTAAAGTATCCCAGAACCCAGGGTTTCAGAAGCACTGCTGCCAAGGTCATCTACTTAGAGTGTTAGGCCTTTGCCCAAATTGGTCAGTCCTTTAGAGAAGAGAGAGAGAGAAAGAGAGAGAGAGAGAGAGAGAGAGAGAGAGAGAGAGAGAGAGAGAGAGAGAGAGAGAGAAAAAAAAAAAAAAAAACAAAAAACCCAAGCAGTTGGCTATTAGACTTTACCTACTTTTCCATCAATGTTAGCCAGGAATAATTAGAACAAAGCATGACTGTTGAATTGACTTTCAAGACTGACCAAATCGAAATACATTTTAAAAAAAGTACATTTGGGTAGCCCAGACATTTCCAAAAGGCCCAATTTCAAGGGACAATGAGAATCATTCATTTCCTACTCGAGAGCTAATAAGCTGAGGAACGCTCTGGAATACATTCTTATTTTGTACATTGGGGTGATTTCAAACAGGAAACAGCAAAGAACTCTGTGGGCTCCTCTTCAGGGCCCTTCCTCACGGAACAGTTTGAAACCCTAACCAGAAAAGTGGTGTGACCCTGAGCGCACGCACAGGGAAATCAGAAAGCCTGAAATGTCTCCGCCTGGTATTGAGCGGCTGGGTGACCTTGGACAGTGAGGCCTCTTCATGGAAGGCCTGACTGGTCCTAGGACAGTCTCCAGCAGATGGAGCTCCCTTAATGTGGCCCTGGCTTCCCAACATGCCCCTGGGATGAAACTGTCCCAGCTGCCCACACTTCACCTGACTGCCATCATTCCCTGGTAGCTCAGCTCTCCCACCCATTCATTCTCATGAGGCAGTTTGTCACCCTTTCTTCCCCGGAAGCATTGCACAGAAAGAACCTTTTGAATACCAGTTCTTATAGTCTCCTGTCTACAAACATGCCAGGGACTTGTCCTTTATTATGCATTTAAAAACCATTTACTTTGTCTCTACATTTCTTATTTTGCCAGATTATTATTATTTTTACACAGCCTCTGCCTATGTTTCCCTCTTTCTATCTGGCTCCTGATTCTGTGAAACTCATTCTACCACCTGGATTTATCATTCTGACTTTTCCCACATTCTGTTTATTGTTAGCTCATTCTCTTGGTTTCCCTGTGCTTTCTGAAATGCTGCTGTTTGAGTCCTTTTCCAGTTTCCTTTCTTTGGTCTCTTTAGGTCTGGAGGTGGGCAGAAACCACGCGTCTGGGAATGGGGAGACCTGGAGTGTGGGGATTAGAGGTGGCCACGTGAAGGTGTGCAGTCATTTAACTACTCTCAATCTCCCTTTCTTCCCATGTAAAGGGAAAAGATTCCCTCTGGCTCAAAATTCCATGATTCGAGGATTTCTTTGCAGTCATAGAGAGAGTCAGGAAAAAATACATGTCTATCGCACCAGAAAAATGAACTGCAACGTAAGAACCATTTGCTTAGCAAAAACAAGGGAATCACAGGTTTATCTGATGACCCGGCACAGAGAAAAATGGTATTTGGGACCCAGGGCAGCATATTGGCTTTTTTTTGAAGCAGGAGCAAGGTCCTGGTTTACTAGATTGGGTTAAAGCTGGTCGAGTTAAAACAGAGTCCGTTGCACTCTACAAATAAAGTAAAACCCGGAGCACCTTCCTCTCTGCTTTTCCCAACTGGATTTTTTAAGTTATGTTTCTCAGATGTCTAGGATTGAAGTTTCCATTCGGTAATAATGGAAAAATAACCACAGCTTTTATTTTAAACAAATACCATGGTGGAAGTGGATCCAGAATCCGGACAAAAATCACGCATTATTTTACATAGCTGACATGGTACGCTGGAGGCATGAAGCACTGCGCAAACTATAAACAAATGAAAAGCCCCAGTCAGTCCTGTTAGGCCCAAGCGATGATGGATTGCAAACCTAGGGCTGTAAACTAAGTAACAGTCTGGAACCAGGGTTTATCAAGTTTTATTTTCCCGAGACAAGTTTATCCTGGAAGAGAGCTGGAGGAGCATCCTGTGATTTTTTCGAAGTATTTTCTGTTTCTCCGTCTAAGGTTTGCCCTCGGCAAAGTCGCTTTTCACAAACTCCCACACAGACTGCATTTTGGGCAGGACAGCTTTCATAGATCTTATTAGCCCCCGGGGTTTGGCCCTGAGAAAAATGCAGTAAGTCTCAAATAGGAAAAATTGTATTTTAATTCTAAAATAATAATAATAATAATAATGACAATAAAGAAAGAAAACCAAACTCACCCGCATCTGAAATGCCCAGCTTACCTGGATGGGCTGCTTTCTCTTTCTATTCTTCAAGGGAAGGGGATTGGTGGGGTGTGAAACCCTTTTATTATACTGTGCCTCCCCATCTTTTCTGAATAGTCATTTCCAAGTGCCTAACAGACATCTTTTTCTAGGCCCTTTCTTTTTGGACCTGCTGGAGAAAAAGGAGGAAAGAGGGCCTGTGCCTTTTACGGAGCTAGCCCCGCTTTCCCCCAGAGCGGCAGTCCTAGTGGGCAAACCGACCCTTCTCAGCCTCCTTCCCAAACAGAAATCCCCAGCTGCCCACAAGCCCTGCAGCCCTGCAGCCCCCTGACATCTGAGCCACCTGCACCTTGCCCGCCGGGCTCGCTAATTGTTTCTTAGTTTATTCGGCGTGCAGGTAGTGGGCTCGGGGCGGGAAGCCCCTGGGCTGGAGATCCGGGGCGGAGGGGGGGGTGAAGGAGGGCCCCGGGGGGCTGGGCAGTGATCGCTCCGTGAGCGGCCGCGACAGAAGGCAGCGGCTCGGTGGGTCAGGAGCGAGCGCCGCAGCGGCGGGCGGGCCGGGCTGGGCCGGGAGGAGGCGCTCCGGCGAGCGGCGCCCGCGGCAGCCCCGGCGGCAGCTGCGGCGAGCGGAGCGGGGCGGCGCGGAGCCGGGAGCGCGGGCGGCGGGGAGCGGGCGGGCGGCGCCCGGAGACCCGCAGGGAAAGGGCAGCGCCGCCGCCCGCCGCCGGCCTCGGCGCGGTTAATCACGCGCTCCCCGCTCGCTGCTGATTTGCAAGAGCAGATTAATCAGAGCGCTCGGCTTGATGAAATTTGCTGTTATTGTGCCCATTTTTAGCAACATCTTTTATTATCTTCATTATTCATTTACAGGGGACCCGGCATCAATTATGCAAATGAGTTCACAGACTTTGCAGATTACTTCATTTTGCCGCTATTGTTTGTGGAAATTTAATTATTAAATATTATTAAGCTCGCGTTTTCTTCAATTTTCCAAGGCTTAGTTTCATTTGATTTTTCCTCCAGCTGCTCTTCTTCCCTTTCAGTGCCAAAACAGCTCCTCATCAAAGCGGCTCTGGCATGTGAAGACCAAATAAAATCTCCTCAATTTAATAATTTTGATGTTAGTCCCTTGTTCTCAGCTGCTTGCTCAAAGCAATGCAGAGGAGGAACGCAGAGCACATTCAATTTAATGAGCAGAAATTGAATTCAAGTTTGTTCGGAATTGACTTCAATTAAGCAGAGTCTTAATGATAAATTAATCTCTTTTCTTTATTCCCTAGAATTTGTTTTTCAAAGTAGGAAATTGGACTACATTGAAAGACCAAATAAAGAACACCAATTTTAACTAGATCATGGGACTGATAGCAAAATTTAATTCTTTATAGTAACGTACTTGGACAAATAGCATTCTTTCTATGGCACATATTATAATTTATATTCATTGTTACCACTTACACTTCCATGGCATGGATAAAATGGCAGTTGAATTAAATATGGGCTTGTGATAGACTTCAAAGTTTTAATCTTTATTAAGAAACTCTAATTGAATGCATAATTAGCTTTTCAGGCTTTAGGAAATTCAGTTTAATATCTATGTGAATAGAAAACATGGATCAGAAATTTAAAGCAATTTTTTATGGGTTTATTTTTGAGGAGCAATGATCAGGCTGCATATGAAATGGCATTTTAAACTGAATAGCAAGAATCCGAGAGGCATGGAGTTAGGTTCCTCCTGTGTTGTTACGGACACTGAGCCAGGGCTTCCTTGGAACCAGGGCCAACGCTGGTAATTTTAAGTTCCTTTTATTAAAACCTCTACTGTTCCTCCAGGCCACCAAATCCATTATTCCTGTCCGGACCTTGCTGAAAAATCAAACTCGCAGCGACTTGGGGATTTTAATGAGGGCATCCATATTGATTGTATGGTTCTCCTGTTTGGGTTTGCTGCCACTGTCAAAAATGTATCTGACATATTTCCCCCCTCCACCACCACCATCTGAATCATGGATCATCTTTTCTGGAACACGCAGAGCATAATTCTCCATGCTCCAGTGTGCAAAGTGCTCTATCTACATATGCCAAATGTTATTATTGCGGTTCCTTCAGGAGTGACCTTCGACGAGGCGGTGTTTGTTCCAAAGAACTTCAAGCTGTTCACGGTGGTATGTTCATAGTCACAAATTTAAAATACATCAGTGTGAGAAAATACACTTAGGCCGTGTACTGTTTCACAGGGTGAGTGGGCTCCTTGCCCCCCTGCTTCCCGTCCCTTCCATGTACGTGTTTCATTACTCTTGGCCACTCAGACATAGTGCCTGCAGATTTGATTTTGCCATGAATTTTAAATTGAATTGCAGGTGATAGAGATTATCTTCTTTGTGTGACAGTACGGTGTCCTCGTTTCTAATACTTTTCAGGGTCCGCCTGCTCTACGTTAGGATTAAAGATGTATACAATAATAGAATTTTAAAACTGACATGGTGCTTAAAAAATCATGTTTCAACGCTTATGCTTTATAGATGAGGAAACCGAGGCCCATAAATGCTGTGTAGTTTCTCCAAGGCCACTGAGTCAGCTGGAGGCAGAAGCCAGGACTAAAACGTACAGGTACACAAATGTCTGGACTGAGGAGGTTTTTATTCAAGGCTGCCTCCCAGTTGTGAAGTGACATCTTTGAGTAAGTGGAAACTAGTTTTAAAAAGACAGGAATTAATTTATTGCCTTGTTCAAACTGGGAAATATATTGATTAAATTGCATAAAAGCGCACATGAACCGGGGAAGCCTATTTATCTGGAACATAGACAGTTGGGAAGCAGGAATAGTGGGATCATTTTGTACTCTCCTTGAGTGAGACGGGAACAAATGGAAATGAAAAGTTAATAAGTTAGTATTAGGAATTTTTTTTAAAAATAAAGAAACCCAAAAAAACTTTATAGTGCTATAGGTTCCGTGCATATTAGGTCCTATATTCTATAGTGGGGGAAGAAAACACTTTTAATTAGTATTTCCAGTATTTATTTATTCCTTCCCTCATGAAACAGTGATATCCCAAATCTCCACTTCATGCCAATCTTTCATTTGTTCAACCTTAACGAGCTGTGAGTATTCGGCAATTTGCTAGATGTTGAAAATATGAACACTGATAACGCTGTGAGAAGGTTACAGTCTATAATAGTGGGAAACACGGAAAGGAACCCATAATTATTGCATGAAATAGTAAGTGTTCTAATGTGTGTGTGTGAAGCGCTGGGGGCACCCAGAGGAGGGGCGCCTATGGCAGCTTGGGAGGCCTGGGAAAGCGTCTTGGCGCTTGTGCAGTGTCTCCTTGAGCCCTATCTCAACTCAGTCTGGTGAGGAAGGTGATGGTGCTGCGGGGTGGTGTGGGTGCAAGGGAAGTTTGTCCAGTCAAGGGGAGCTAGAAGGCATGGAATGGAATGAAAGCTGGCTGTAGGTTTGTGCCAGGAAGTGCTGGGAGGTTGAACTACAAAGCCAAGGGTCAGGCCAGTATAAATATCTTTTGTATTTCTTTAAGGATAAGTCATTTCTCCTTTTAGTCTGGAGGGCATCTGTCAAAGTAGCGTCTGTGAGAGTACAAATATTCCTGGGCCCACAGTAATCTCCTCTTCATCCCTTGTTAACTAATATCTTAGTGATTGTTTCGTACTTCACCAGTGATTGGCTGTCGTATACAGCAGGTGAGAGGAAGTTGGGAGATGGAATGAGGGTCGAAAAGGAGAGGAAGAAGGGAGAAAAGCTGAATGGACACATTGCTGAGGGTAGGAAGGAGGTACCTGAAATGCAGCGTCTAGTCACAGCTTTGCCTAGGACCCAGATAGGTCTCTCTCATCAACACCAGCCCATGGACCATTAAAATGATCTCTGCACCTCTGTTCATGGATAATGGCTAGAACTTTATAACTTCTATCTGATGACATTATATAATGAGAATTTATAATGATGTCTTTGTAAGAACTCTTAACACTCCAATGAAATAAAAACAGATAAAGCATTAGTAAGTCTTTTTGGATATTATACCACGTTTTTGAGACTTAGTCTGACTTATGATGAATATGGTAGTTTAGTATGGTTAAATGTAGTTACCCAGAATACCACATTTTCCCTATCACCCTAAACAAATTATTGTACTAAATCTATTTTATTTGCAGACCTATAAAATTGGGGTTTTTACTCTTCTGTGCTAGAAAACTAAGGTAGCTATAAATTTAGCATACTCAAATGCATTTCAGTTAAAATCAATAACATTTTCTTTCAAATTAAAATAGAAAAATCTCAGGCAGAATTATATCGTTTCAACGGTAAAATAAGAGTTTATCACCATGTATAGAAATTTTTTTGAAGAATATTTTAAAGTAGTAGGAATCCAAACAAGAGCCCTAAGTGAAGTGATCTCACTTCATAGTGCAGGTTATTTGCTGTCTATGGTTGGTTCAGTTCAGAGAGAGCTTTGTCTAAAGATCTGCACAAACTTCAGTAGAGAGTGGATGGGGTAGGAGCTTTCTTCTATACCTGTTAGCTTAAGCTGCATTAAAACACTGGCTAAGATTATTCCTAATAGCCAAGATATGGAAACAACATAAGAGTCCATCAACACACACACACACACACACACACACACACACACACACACACACACATATTCAGCCTTAAAATAAGGAAATCCTGCCATTTATGACAATGGTTATTACCCTTGAGGGTGTTATGCTAAGTGAAATAAGCCAGACAGAGAAAAACAAATGCTGCATAGTATCCCTTATATATGGAATCTAAAACAAATTCAGACAGACTCAAAGAAACAAAGTAAAAAGTGGTTGCTAGGGGATAGGAGATGAAGGAAATGGGGAGAGGTTGGGACAAGGGTGCAAACTTTCAGTTGTAAGATGAATCAAGTCTAAGGAGCTAATGGTGACTCTAGTTGATAACACTATATCATATAATTGAAATTTGGTAAGGGAGTAGATCTTAAATATTGTCACCCTTCCCTCCCGAAAGAAAAATAATGGTAAATATGTGAGGTGATGGATGTGTTAATTAACTAGATGGTGGGACTCCTTTCACAATATGTACATAAATCAAATCGTCAAGTTGTACACTTTAAATGTCTTACAATATTATTTTTCAGTTATACCTCAATAAAGCTGAAAAAAAATACGGACTAAGAAAAATTCTGTGTCTGTAAGGAGTGTCAGGTCAGAGATTGTAGGCCTTTTAGATGGTCAGTGTACTGGCTATAATGTTAGAATGCCCATGGATAGATTCCCTCTGGAACCACTCATGAGGGAACACCCCCTCACTGCCTTTCTTCTGAGGAATTTAGCTGTTGC